GCTAAGTCTCTTTAAATGTCTAAGCTTCCCAAGCTGGGCTCAGACTTGTGATCCTCCTGCCTCAACTTCCCAGAGTGTAAGGATTAGAGTCATGGGCCACCGGGTCAAGCTCACAGACTTTTTGATTCCAGAAAGATAGTTACGGTCAAGTGTGTTATTGCACTTGGCTGCCCGGTTAAACAGGTGCGTCAAAGTCCAATATTTCACTGTCCAGTTGAAAAGGTGTTAGGTAGACTCCCTAGCAACTCTGCAAGCATCAAATAGTATTTAAAAATAATAGATAAGTATAAAATAAAATAAAATATGAACTAGACTACTATAAATTATTTATTTTCCATTTATGTATTTGCTACAGGTTCTCACTACACAGCTTGGACTTGTAATGATCCTCCTGTTTTCAGCTTCCTCAGCACTGGGATTATAGGCATCTGCCACCACACCTGGACTCGTCCCCAGCTCAGTCCGCTGTGGGAGCAGGGCCGGCGTGGCTACAGGGCCAGGAATTGAACCCTAGTCACTGTGCTTGACAAAGTAGGCACTTAGCCTGCTGAAGTCATCTTGCCGGCCCTATAACTGATGCATTTCATTTCTATTGGTTTATTTATTTTTGCATTTCAGGGAAGGGTCTACAGGGGGTTCAGAATCTCACTGCTCAGATTGGACTCGTAGTGATCCGCCTGTTGACAGCCTCCCAACAGCTGGGATTACAGGCTCGCGCCACCATGCCCAGTTTCAAAACTGATGCATTTTAAGAGGAAGAAAATTGTGTGGGATAAAAGATCCTACCTAAAATAGAGTTTGCAGTATTTTTTAATGAAGCTCATAAGATTATTTTAAGTAACCGTAGAGATTATCAATAATCACAAATTCAATAAAAATTAATAAATATTTTGGTTTTATTAAATTCCTTTATGCAGATGAATAAATCACATTTTTCCATTAAATTTACTTTTTAAATTTAATTGAAACATTTTTTTTTTTTTTTGATACAGGGTGTCACTACAGAGCTTGGACTCATAGTGGCCCTGCTGTTTCAGCTTCTCCAGTGCTGGGATTATAGGTGTGCACCACAATGCCCGATTACAGGGCCCTCACAGCGTACCTGGGCTTCCTGCAGTACTGGGGATAGAACTCAGGACCTTGCGCTTGCAAGGCAGGAGCTCATGCTGTTGAGCTGTATTCCCAGCCCTCTTTTCCATTAAATTTAGAAAGCCAAAAATACAATTTGGTTACAGTTGATACATTTCTATTGTAGGCTCAGTGGGTATTATTTACATAAAGTACATTTTTTTTTTTTTTTAGTCTTGCCATTTAGGGTAAAATATCAAAATGCTTTAAAATACATTTTTAAATACTTGTTCAAAAGACAAAATTACAATACATTTAAAGATCTTAGTCTGCTTTAAGATTCTAGAATTGACGGGCCGGCCAAATAGCTCAGTGGAATAAAGCGCCTGCTTAGGTAGAGTGCAGGGCCTGGGATTCGATCCGTGGCACCACAATCTTATGCGGACCCCACCCCCAGGGCCCACTGAGACAGCGATGGAGACTGGGCATGGAGGCGCGCGCCTGTAATCCCAGTGCTTGGGAGGCTGAAAACAGGAGGATCACTATGAGTCTGATCTGTGTAGTGAGACCTGAACACCCTGCAGACCATGAATAAAATGGAATATTCTAGAATTGGGCCCCTCAGAAGCCCCAGAACCATAACAGGCTCAGTGATCTCTGAGACTGCAAGTTGGTTGGGCAGCATTTGTGTACAGAATCGGAAGTGACAGGGGGTGGTTTAATTGGTTACAGCTTGCTGTTTGGCCTTGTTTGAAAGAGCTGACTGCCTGCGACTGTCTGAGGCTCAGCTGCCGTCGCCGACGACACTCAGCTCTTTGTACACAGGCTCTTTGTACACAGGCTGCAGCCTCCTGGAGCTGCAGAGGCCGCCTCAGGCCTACATTTAATTTACTCTCCTGATGCCCGTGTGTTGAGATGTCTGAATGAGTACATGGCTAACTGCTTTTGAAAACAGCAGTACATTGATAAGAATTAATTAGCTCATGGCATGAAATATTTTGGGAAACACATATAGAAGATGAAATGCCTCTCTGACACTAGTTGTCCATTATATTCAAAGAATGTTGTGTGAGCGCTTTCTATTATATTTTTGCAAATTGATACAAATTGAAATGTCAAGGACGTAATTATTGACAGCCTGCCACCACAATGCGAAGCAGGCCTATCCTTCTAGAAACTTCACAATACACCCCCTGGTGTCTATGGTATTAATTTCACCATCTTCTGAGAAAGGAATGACTTTTTCAAAGTATTTTCCCTGATGTAGATCACTTAGCATTTAACTATTTAATTTTTAAATGCATTTGAGTGATTTTAATCAAGGGAATAACTAAGCATCATTATGGGGTACAAGTGATACTGTGGCACGTGTTGATAGTGTCTTGATTAATTCAGGGCATTTAGGCCTTTGTCATCTCAAATATTTATTATTTCCTCGTGATGAGGACATTGAAAAGACTCTTCTACCTATTTTGAATTGCATGATATAACATTGTCAACTCTAACCATTCTCTGAGTGTAAACTCCAGAGCTTTTCTCCTCTGCGGGTGACAGAGGTCTGACCCAGCTCTCCCTGACCCCTTCTCTTCCCTTCCTGGTCTCTAATAAATACTTTCTGAAAGACACTTTGGTTGATTTGCTGAAATTGCTTTCTGTTGTTAACTTACAAAAGAGGATTTTCGAAACACATGGCTCTTGTTGAAAATCAAGTATGCACAAATCTTCAGAGTCTGGATTAACTCTTGTGTTTGGACAAGTCAAGAGTACAATGAATAATCTTAGTTCATGCACAAAGACATTTTGCTATTATGTGTTTGTTTCTTCTTTGTAAGCATCTTTTTGGTCTAGGTCGTATACTACAAGTAACTACTTTGAAGACAGCAATACACAGGGGATTAACTACTGTTATTCTGTCATAATTTTTGTTGGGACTTTTTTTTCATAAAATAAAAAAGTCTTTAAAGAGGAGTATTAAAAATGATTTCACTTAGAGCTGTGAGGAATTAAAACACAGGTAATGAAAATCATGTTCAGAATTTTAAAAAAGCCTTTCTTGAGGAGGAGGGAAGCTTTATAGGACATCGGGAGTACGTGATTTTCTCCCAGTACAGTAGAGCCTTGTTATACTATGAGATGTCTACCTGAGAGGGGATTGTAGGGACATAAGTCTATTATTATTGATGTTACCCCCTGTAAGCCATGATAGGAAGAAAAGCTTTTAAAATTCAGCCAAGTTTTGAAAATGATTTTAATTTGAAGTTTTAAAATATTTTCAAAATGCCCCCCCAAACAAGAAGCCCCAGGCCCCTCGCAGGAGCTCATTGACAGCTTATTCAGAGGTTTTCTCACACCCCCGAGTATGCTGATTTTCTTCTTAGAAACAAGCTAAGCCTCTGTGATGAGTCTCTAAGATCTGGGCACTGTGTGGCTCGCCCCAGGCACAGTCCCTGAGGCAGGGATGCTGAGTAGAGGGTCTTTCTGAGCCTTGTACAACCTCTGACAGGAACTTGGCAACCCAGGCAGCACTTAGACCTGGCCGCGCTGCAGGATTTATCATGAGTTATTTACAAAGCTTCAGATGTTAGGGTCAGAGGACTCAGACTCTCCGTGCACGGTGAGTGTGGGGGGAGAACGGGCCTTGACGACCAAGTAACTGCATCACTTAGGGAAGAGGAGAGTTTCCTTCTTCCAAGGTTCTGTACTTACCCATTAAAAGTGTTTCTATATCCCTAAAAGCTACACGCTTCATATTTGGTTTGCACTCACTCAGAAATAAACCTGAGAGACATGTAGGCTTCCGACTAACATTTGCAAAAATAACAAGTGTAGCAGTTTTTATTTTTTGCTTTATCTTACTCAAAAGAATAACAGGCAGTAAATGCTCTGGTGGTGCAGCCTCACTTCCCACTGGAGAGATGCTGCGCACTTTGTGATTAGTGAGTGACTGCGACACACGCTCAGATGTAGTTATGAAGTCTTAAGATACCTAGTCCGCTGCCTGTAGGTATTGGGGAGAATTTCGGAAACATATTTTGGCTTTGGGTTTTATTACTGGGTACTGAAGCAATTCTGATCAATCGATCTCAAGCCTGACAAGTGGTTCACTACAAATAAAAAATCTATAACCATATGTACCAAGTAAATCCAACATTAGATCACTGTATCCTCTAGTCAACTTGCAGAAAAGGATGAGCGGATGTCTGGCACACCACTAGATGGCGCACATTCACCACACTTCTGGCAGAAGGCAGCTTTAAACCTTTATGGTGATATGCAGGTTCAGGGAGATGGTAGAAGTTACTATTGTTGGATGGTATTTTCCCGTCATTGAACACAATGACAAAACTGTTTTATGTCTTCTTGCCTACTTTAAATCAAATCAATAAATATTTATTGAAAGCTTTATTAAAGGGTATTTCCTTTGTAAAGACAGCTGAAAATCAGCTTTATCATGGTGGCTAAATTATTTATTGAAAATACCTAGTAAGAAAGATGCTGTGCCCAGTATCCCGCTTGATTCTCTTCTATTTCATTGCTCTCCAAATTTCTATTTCTATTCCTTATACAGCTACTTCTGAAAGGCACATATTTTGAAACTGTCTCATACTTTGAGAGAACAGCCTAGCCTTCAGAATTAATATTTCTGAAAACAGAAGTCCAAGAGTTCTCGATGTGTCACCCAGGGTCCTTTGCTTGGCTGTAGTTTACAGCTGTCTGAGAAATGATGCTTTTAAATTCACTGAGAACCAAGATTCCAAATGGACTCTGCTGACACAATATGATTGAGTCCTGGAGGTTAATCGGATCGAATGCTCAAACATCACACTCAAATCTAACAGGTGGAAAGAAAACACCCATCCAGACACATCAGGTAAAGGGCAGCGCCTGTAACGTGAACTATAGACCAGTAATGAGTGAAATGGAGGACTTACCTGCTCCAGTATGTTTTGCAGCCTCTCTATCTCACAATCTATTACAAACTTCTTTTCTTGTCTTCTATCAAGTTCTTCTAAAAGTTGCCTGTAGCTGACGTCATTAAAATTTTCCACACATATAGCACTGACATGCCAACCATTCTGTCCTGCCTTTTCCATGATTGCTTGAAGTATTGAGTAGCCTATTAGGGGGAGAGACAGAGTGATCAGAAAGATGCTTCGATTTCCCTTTAATCACTTATGCAACCTACATCCATATTTTTATGTTCTGAAATATATACCGATTGCTTTGAAATTGAGAAATCTGACTGAGTATTTCAGAGTCATTTGTTCTTTCTTTCTTTTTTTTTTTAAATGCAGGGTAACAAAATCTCTTCAGCCACTGAGTGAAGTAGCAAACCATCGCTTATGTAAGCTCTCAAAATCTCTCTACTGGAGCTTACCCTATTGTCCTAGGCACATTGTCGATAAGCTAAACTAAAAACAAAGTCTACCACCACCCGTAGTAAAGAACAATTCTGAAACCCTTTCTGTTGTCTTACTTCCTGGGCAGAATTCACTTCGAACAATGGCTTTTGATTTCCCCTTGAGTGAGGCAATCATAGATCAGGTTCTGTTATGAAAGAGAAGAAATGGCTCAATGATATTGATTAAGGACCCACTATTGTCAGAGCCTCATTGATGACGCGGCCAGTTCTAAACTTGAAAGGTGTTTTTTCACAAACACTTTCTTTCTTTGCTGGAGAAAGAATGGTGTGGCCTGAGGTGAATTAAATAACAGCTAGGTAAGGCACTGAGAGCCCAACGTAAGGCTGAGGAGAAGGCATTCAAATAGACAAAAGCAACTGAGTTGTGGAAAGCGTAGTGACCATTACTTAAGGTGAGGTGTTGACTCAAGGAAAGCATTAGTTACATCTGGATGGGAGAAGGAACAATAGCACAGACGGGAACCCGTTTGAATTAAGGCTGGAAAGCTGAGGAGCAAGCGAGCTTGCCAGAGGTGGGACTGACCACTAGGTAAAGAAAGGACAGGCTCTGTCCTGTGCTTGGCCCAGACCCCTCTGCCTGTGGAAGAGACGCTGTCCGGGCCTGAGACCCTGGGTTAAGGAAGGAGTCTGCGAGAGGGCAATCCCAGCACTCAGAATACCTCTTCATACCGACACTCTCCTGATATTGCCCTGCTTTTTCCAGCTCTGAGTTTTCAATTGTAATGTGAGAGAAGAAAAGAAAAAAGATCCTTTGACTTTATAAATAGCCTTTAAATAAGGGTTGCTTGGGCTCAAAGCCTGCAAGCCAGTAGTTTTTCATTTTATAGCATAACTGGTATAAACAAAATATACTAGTCCTATTTAAGGAAGTTTAATGTGTATTTGAGCTAAATCTGTAGTAACTGCCTGCATGTCCTTTCTCACTAGGTTGTAGAATCAGGAAAGAGATCTAGGCAGATTGAAACTAAGTAATTAAAATGAATACACAACTTCCAAGATAACATATTTGGTTTTATGATTGGCATTTGAGCTTCTCAGGTTCGGAGATTTTGATTTGAGGTATGTTTTCTGTGCGTCAGTTTCAAACCTTGCGATGCTTAGGTAATAAATATCGACAGATGGATCTGGTGTGGAGATCATATTTGAAATATAAATTACCTGATATTCTGCCAAGTGGAATACTGTGGCAGTCAGGATTCATTTTTATCTAAGTGAAAAAAAAAAAATCCCCAAAGAGGCAGAGAGAGGGCATGTTAATTACTCTATAATTATTCTGGTATATCTGCTGCTTCCGTTAGTCTTTCCTTTGTAATGAATGCCAGTAATTATCTTCTTAAATCATACCTAAATCTAGACTCCTCACCCCCCCATACCTGCCTGGAAGTCGGGGCTCTTTTCTCTGCTTGCTACGCAGGTCACAGGCACAATGCAGGCAGGAACCCCTTTAGAACACTCGGATGCCTTCACCCCTCATTTGTTCTGGCCTTGGGATCCGCACAGTGATGCTCACTGAAGCCAGATTCTCTTTATTTCATTTGGACTCTTATACACAAATGTGTCATTTGACTTAAAAAGGCCACTAAAATGCCGGTTGGCACCTTACTGTGTACTTTTCTCCTTTTACATGCCAACACAGCAAAATAATTCTAGGACATCTGTTTGTTTGATTGTTTTTAAAAGGACAAATGAAGGACCATATACTGTGAAATGTCTTTGGGCTCTATAGGATCAATCCACGGCTTGGCTCTGATCTCTAGAGATTAGGGTTTTGGGCACCTTGTGGCTGCCAGTCCCATCAGTACCAGGCACCCACGTTGCTATTCTCCTGCTGACCCGACCTTCACAGGAGTACAGAATACACCTTCTGATGGAATAAATATACGTCCCCACTTGCAGAACAATATTGACAGATTTATGCTACTAAAACAAAATCGTAATTCAAGTGCAGCATTTCATTAGCCGATTGCTCAGACTCACACAGGAAGCTGGAATTGAAGAGACAGGAGCCTAGAACACAATCTTTGTTAAATGTCAAACAAATTTGGCTACCTAAAAAGCCACATGAATCGCAGTCAGAAATAAATGGCGCAGTCCTGGTGCAGGGTAAAGGACACACAGTTGCAGTCTCAGGGCCTTGCCGAAGCATCCTCTTCTGTCAGCTGCGCTTGATTTACCACGCTGCCTTATTCACCGCTGCTCAGGTGTATGCGTCTGATTTACCTGCCTACATAACTGGGGAGATATTACAACTAGGAGAAAATGTGGCTCTTGAATGTATGATTATGTAACTTCGTGGTTATATAAACTAGAAAATTGCAATTCAGGTGATTATTTCTCCTCCTGGGTATGACTTATATCTCTTGATGATTAATAATCTGCGACATAATATTTTTAATCAAAGGTAAATGCTGCAGGTTTAGGTGAATATCATAGAGCTGGCAGGAATTCAGTATGGTAAAGAATGTTTTAAACCTTGCTTCTATGTGGGCAGCTGACGTTATAATTCAATATAATTCACTGAAAAACAAGGCTAGAAGATACATTCAAATAAATAAAGACATGATTACTGCCATTATACAGAATTTACTATATGGCAAAGCTTGACAGGCAATTGGCTATTACGCAAAATACTCAATACTCTCGATGAAAACTTTAAAGGAATAAAAATGTACTTTAGAATAGTATGGAGAGTGTATCATAAACATGATCAGATTATTGGATTACAATAAATAACCAAAGTCTTCTCTATATTTATCGAAGGATACTATCGGGTATACATGAAAAATTTTTTTAATGTTGTACTATACAATGATACTACAATTCTGTTAACCAGAATTATAGTAAGGCAAGCAATCCAAAGCTCCTGCCCGCTCACACAGCAGCATTTCTGACGTCATCTGTGGACAATGACCTCTTCTGGACGATTAGCACCTCAGAGATGCTGCTGCAATCCATACAAGTGGGGCTTGTTTACCTGACATTCTTTTTCTGCAGCACTTATTGGATTCAACTCTGTACACAGAGCAGAAGGGACAGAAGCACCTGAAACTCAGGCCGGGGAGGAGACCACTTTGCAATGGCAGGAGTTGTCCACAGGCCACAAAGATTTCACGTGTATGAGGACTGAAAAGTGTCTGCTGCATTCTTCAGTGAAAAGGTTACAGGGATGCTCAACATGAGCAGAAAACGGAAAGTTGAATATAGAAGTTCTATTTCTGAGGAATGGGGAATTGAAGAGAAAATGGAAAGAGCAGAGTTACAAAAGCAAGGGAGAAATATTAGCAGGGTAACAAAGCCGGGAGGTGAAGCATACACTGTTCTGATTAACATGGAAGAGAGGAACATCCGGGGCATGGAGCTAATGTGGGAAAGCGAAAACTGAGTCCTGTGGGGCACTGCTGAGCCTGGAAAGAACAAGCAACCGAGGAAGAGAGCTGCAGCTTTCATCTGCTCAAACTAAAGCTGCCTTCCTTGGTCTCAAAAATTGCTACACAGATATCTACTACTATATCATCATTTTCTCTTGTCTGGTTCAAAACTAGAGTATGTGAGAAAAAAAAATACATGAATATATGGAAATCTTCATGTGGCATACTGATCTGAGTTATGTATATAGAGAAGACTCTGCTATCTTCGCTATACTGAGTGTCAGCATACTGGAGCGCTATGGTGGATTTAGTGACCATTCCGTTTGCTTCTTGCTAACACAGCTTAGTATTGAAATGACACGTTCAAAGGAGGCAGTGTAGACCAAGGTCTCTATGACACATTCAAAGGATGCAGTGTAGACCAAGGTCTCAGGACACAGAAGGAAGAACCAGTATCGTAGCTCACGCACCACATCTGCAGCTGCAACTACAGCATTTATCCACACCAGCCTGCATAACAGGGATAGGGAAATAAGCAATGAGGTGATCTTTTAGGGCCTCGATTTTCCCTAAGGCCCCTTATACTTTCTGGCAGTAAATTTGCTGTCTCCTGACCCCTATTCTGCACTGTTTCTAGATGATAGCTTACAAAGGAATCTGAGTCTTTATTTCTTTAAAGCCAAAATATTGTAGTAGCTTGCAAATTGTTCTCCATTAGTAATTCCCCCCTTCATTCAAACCAGTGAAAGTTGAGCCTGGTCATATAGACAGCCAGAATAAATACATTTTCTCCTTTCATATTCTGAGGGACATTGCTCAGCGAGCAAGCTTTGGCTGGTACGTTGTGTGAAAGCTTCAGGGGCTATTCCTCAAAAGACTGCAGGAGTATGCCTTTTATCTTGCTGCCTGAATGTAAACTGCACCTCTTAACATCAAGGCTACGAATGATGAATGACTGGATCCAGGGAACCTGGCTTCCTGAAACAGGCTGCTATTCCCCGATCACCTATGCAGACTTTCAGAAGACTGAAGGAAACCCATTATCTTGACTTAACCGTTGGTGTGGGCTTATCAGTTTTCAGTCAGGTGTCAGTGAGGTCCGTCTTGATTTACAAGGCACATACCAAGTATTCATTACAGATTCAAGGCAGTAAGCCCTTCCTCCCAAGAAGGCCCAATTGTTATTCTATTGTCTTTTGTAATAACCATAGAATTTTATCCCAGCACTGTGAAGGACCAGGTCCATTAATTCACATGTTCATTGGTTTACGTAGCAACTATATTGATCTTTATATTCAGAAATTCTAATTATGGGGGCTGGAGAGA